ATGTATTTTAAACCCACCTTTCCAGTTCCTGGGGGACCAGCTAGAAGGATTGCTCTTCCAGCCATCTTTTTAGATTTAATCAGTTCAACCACTACACCTGCAGCCTAAAAGACACAAAGAAACTTGAAACTATGCAACAAAAATTGGAATAATGCGCTGATCTAGCATTACACCTATGTATTTAAATCTAAAAAATAAAATATCATTCATGTAGATGGTTCACTGACCCTTTTCTACTAAAAGAGATTGACACATAACACCCCTTACAATATTCAAACATTTATTAATTGACTAATAAGTAATGAGACTTTCAAGTCTGAGGTTGTTATCTCCCTATGACACCAGATTCTCTAGGCAAATGGACAAGAGAAAGAATACATGTATCAGTGGTAAGGAAGAATCACTCATCGGGTAATTAAGGCAGTGAAAGTGTTTCGCAGCCAGCCTCGTTAGTTGATAAAGTGAGTCTAGGCTCCAGTAAACATTTCAAATGTAATGTGCACAAATTCATGGGGCTGTGCATAGCGTAGGTCTGATTTGCAGATCGAGCAGCGTTACTAGTACACGTACTCTCTCATCTTCTTCATCCACAAGGATCTAAAGAGCAAGCGGAGTTCCAGAGCGACTTTGTCGTTATTTATATGCTTGTAAGCTTACACACTCTGTATTGAACTTTTTTCCTCAACTGTGGTTGCATGCAATAATAATTTGCAAGTTTTTGCCTAATTTTATGTCATTTACTTAGTCCAACAGTGAAAAAGAAACACTAAATGTTGATCCAAATGCATTCATCACAAACCTCCCGAGCAGTTTCTTGACCCACGAGGCCAGAACCCATCGTGAGAGCGTCGCCATTTTCATCCAAACCAAGTCCCTTCACGTGGCTATGAGTGGCTATTCGCTGCGTCTTAGTGGTACTTTTAACTTCCTCGATCTTCATTTTCCCCTCTGACTGTGGTAAGTACACGAATGAGTGTAATAATTGCCCTAAAGTTTCTTAACTTTGGCTTGACAACCGCCAAAAGAACTTCGTACAAGCTGGCGAGGCAACTAAGCTTCGTAAAGGCGAGGCTACATAGGACAGTTTCTTGTCTACTATTTGGTATAAACTCCATGGTTGAATACCATATGAACGACTATTTTTTTGCGATTTTGATTAGGTTATCTGTTTAATTCTGGAGCTTAAAATTCATACGAATATTAATTTTCAGTTTTCATGAT